CGCTATTACTGACATTTTAAAATACTTTAGCGCCAACGCATTGGCAGATCTTTTGCAAGGTCAATCGATTAAGGCACTTGAGCCATACTTGCAAGATCTATGGACTATGTGCTTTAGGGTTTTGGATGATATTAAAGTAAGTATCATTTTAAGCAGTCACTATTTCTAGAGTTATAATTAATCATTATTAATAATTTAAAGGAAAGTGTACGTGTCGCTGCTTTTAAAACATGTCGATCACTTACAAAAATTACTGTGAAATATTGTGACCCTGATAATGTATCCATCAACGATGGTCAAAAAATAATGAACATTATAATGCCATTCCTATTGACGAAAGGCCTGGTGTCTGATTCTGAAGATGTGCGCAAATTTTCTCTAAAAACAATCCTTAAGATTTGCAAATCAGCAAGGGTTCTACTAAAGTTGCATATTACAGAAATTGTTGGAACTTTGTTAGAAGGGTTGTCTAGTATGGAGCCACAAGTTATGAGTATGTACATATTCATATTAATAGAATTTTACTAGAATATTTTTATCATATTAAATAATATATATTTTTTTGTTAGATTATCTTAGTTTCCATGTTGAGAAATACGATGTCACTCAAGAACAGGTTGGTAGTATTATATAATATTGATATTATAGAAAGGCCTCATTCATGCAACTCATATTATTAGCTTGAAAACTCTCGATTATCTGCTGCAAAAATGTCTCCGATGATGGAAGGTATCGAGTCATGTATTGATTATATTGACGAAAGTGTTATGGAAAATTTAACACCTAGACTATTACAACTTGTCCGTAAGGGTATCGGACTACCAACAAAGGTGATCTAAATAATAGTGATATTGTTTAACTCTTGTTTTGTTTGCGTGATATTTTTTTTCTTAATGAATAATTTGATTGTAGGCTGGTTGTGCACGATTCTTGGTATCAATGTGTCTCAAAAAAGCATCAATAGTAAAACCACACGCTGACGCTATCATGAAAGCTTTAAGTGGTGCTATTACTGATGTGTCACCTGCAGTCCGTAAATCATACGCTGTTGCCGTTGGTTATGTTGCCCATTTATCGCCGGATAATACATTAATTAGGTTCATTGGTCATCTGAAGAAAAATTTATTGCGAAAACAGCGGTATGAAAACTTAGTTCCTTAAGATTAGATAATTTAGCCAATTGATTTTTATGACGCTTTTTTAATTATCAAATTATAGAACAAGAAATACGTTCAATTTCGGGTATAACTACTCTGGAGATTTCTAGACATGCATCGGACGAGCTAAAGCGAGTATATGTGGAAATATTACCGCTTGCTTACTATGGGTTACATGATTCCGATACAGGGATTAAGAATGTATGGAATCAAGTATGGGACGAGAATACTGCTGGTACAATAAACTCTATAATTTATTATAATGAATTATTGATTATTTTTATTTAATTCATGAAATCTTTTATTTTTTTATGTGATAATTTTAGGTTCTACCAGCGCAATTAAACTGTATCTTAAAGAATTAATAGATCTTTTGTCTACATTGCTGGAGTCACCATCATGGCAAACTAAGCATCAAGCTGCATTGACAATTGCAGATGTTGCTAAAATCATAGGTAATAAAATCTTTTTAAATGGTTTATCTCATCTTATTAACTACAATGTATACTTTTTTTTTAACGTTATTAAATTTTGTAGAAAAAAGTTTATTGCCATATATGGCACAAGTTATCCCACTATTAATGGATGGTTTGTCAGGAAGGACGTGGGTTGGAAAAGAGGCACTTGTTGAAGCACTTGTAACGGCTTCTATTTCATGTAAAGAATATTTTGCTGATAGTAATACACGCGCACAATTGGATGCTATTTCAAAAGTGAGGCTAATTTATTGATTAATGTAATTTACTTCAAATGTTAATTTTTGAAAATTAAAATATTGCATTTTTTGCATGTTCATATAAGATTCTTGTGCGTGAGAGCAAAAAAACTAATAAGCAGTATAAGCGCCACTGTATCGATAATCTGGGAAGATTCGCAGATGCTTATATTGATAGTTTGGAACTTTACGCAGATGTAAAGGAATTTTTAATTGAATTGGCAACTAGTGAACAAGACCCTAATGAAATGGACGAAGATGACGCCAATCAACAACCATTGTTCTTATTAGTTAAAGCAAGTTCGATGAAATGTCTTGGTTTAGTGTGGCCTAGAAAAAAGGAAATTCAAGGTACATATTAAATAAATTAAATGTTAATATATTTCAAGTATTATTAATGGAATGGTATGTATACTATATACAATATTCTACAGCACTACATTCTAAAGAACTTGGTATCGTGCTCGCAACTGCATTGGAATCAAGTAAAAACATCTGGAATGTTCGTCTAGGCGTTCTTACATCTCTCGATAAATATATAGATAAATTAGATCTTACAGAGAGTGATAAACTATTGATATTGGATGAAGAAACCTTGCTTTCTATTTTCAAAGGATTAAAAAATGGACTACAAGATGCAAAATATGTTGCAATTCGTACAGCAAGTTTGGATAGTTTGAAAAAAATTATTGAGAAAGTTAAAGGTGAGGACCTTTTTTTTTATATCAATTCATGTCATTTATAATAACTAAATAA